CAAGGGCTGATTTCAGGACAGGTTCCATACATGAACAAAAATAAATTCATATTCATGAGAACATTGTTACACAGTCAGCACTGAACACCGTCGTCTGCAGACTTTATACAGCAGCAGAGGTCAGCGGGCGTTCCCTCCTGTAGCCAGCCGCAGTCAGCTGCACAGACATGATCCATGGCCATCGGCGAGTCGGCGTCCAGGTGGAGATACGTTAATGTTTTGGGCATGTTCTCATGGTGACGACGCCAAGAGGCACCGCGAGTCAGCTTCCAAGTTGAGATAAGAGATTGTTTTGGTAGACAGCAGGTTCTCAAGGCAGGAAGGAAAGACGTTCTCAGCCACAGTATAACACAATAAAACGTTCATAACCATCGCCCAGATGTTCTCCAACAGAAAGTGACGCCAACATAAATGATATGTTTTACATGGAGGACTGACACAGCTGACTGAATGCCAAATTTCGGACTTTGCTCAAGAATTTTCTGATGTGTGAAATAATGTCCTGTTCCGTTCTGTGTCTTTGTTGTTGAGGTTTAAAGAAGAGCGTCCCAGACACCCGATCCACTGTGATTATATTCAGGCTGTTGCACAGGCTGTTTCAGTCCCCGTCATTGCAAAGTAAGTTGCAGCTTGCATCTATTGATTGTGGGGGGGATTTGAACTAGCTTTCTCCAAACTCAAACACAGTCCAGCAGATCTCAGTGGGGGCAGCATCTTGAGCAGGGGGGTCCAGACATCTTTCTCCACAGCCTCTTCCAGCTCCTTTGGGAGGACTCCAAGGTGTTCCCAGACCAACAGAGAGACGTAGTCTCTCCAGCATGTCCTGGGTCTTCCCCAGGGTCTCCTTCCAGTTGAATATGCCTGAAGCACCTCCCTAGGGAGGCGCCCAGGGAGCATCCTTAACCAGATGTTGAACCACCTCAACTGGTTCCTCTGGATGTGGAGGAGCAGTGGTTCTACTCCGAGTCTCTCCTGATACCTGAACTTCTCCCCCTGTCTCTAAGGGAGAGTCCAGCTCTGCAGAGGAAACTCATTTCAACCTCCTGGATCCACCGTCTCATTCTTTCAGTCTCTACCAGAGTTCATGACCAGAGGTGAGGGG